TAGGCCTAGGATAACGAGGCTTATCCTTCTAATAGTCGAGGAGCTATTACAAATTCAGCACTATGGACGCATACGTGTAGTTGGAAAACCAGATCTGGCCATTTGAGGGAAAAATGGAACATTTTGAGAGTGGTGATTTTTTCTTCAGCTGATTAGTGACTTTTTGGTAGAACTTTGTGGTAGCCTGCATAATAAGACGACAACAATTTTTCTAAATAATAATTTAAATTGGAAATTGAAATTTGGATATAAAGGCCTAAAGTGTGCGTGTGTGTGTGCGTGCACGTTTGAGGTGCATCCTTTGTGTCCCCTTCTGCCTTTCCCCCTCTTCCCCTCATCCCCCTTCTCCCTTGCTCCCAATTCTGTCCCTCCCGTCTGCTCAACTCTAGTTGGGTGGAGTATGTTTTTTATAGTTTAACTACTTTTGTTAATGCTAGCTACATTAAAAAAAAAATAATTAAAAAGGGGTGGAACCAGTGATAAACATTTTACTGGTGAAAACATTTGGTAATGAGATTAGAGAATCATAGATAGATTTGAATTGACTTGAGCTGTGAAATTTTTGTGATTGGACAACTTTAAAGTTACAACATTTGGTACAAGCTCAAAAGGATTAGGCTGAAGCTGAATTAGATTGATGATAAATAAGACTCAAAGTTAGCTCAGATTTTTGATTTTTGTTTGCTTATGATCACAAAAGATGGTATTTTGTGCACACAAGTAGACTTTTATGTTTATTTTTGGGTTTGATTTGGAGTTTTTGTTTGTTTTGTGAGTAACTGTCTTTATGTGTAAGATTCAACAGAATTGTCAACTAATATTTTGTTCTGTTTCTGAGTTTGTTTCTGTCTCAGCTGGGAGAGGGACGTCTGGGGACAGTGTTTGGTTGTTCCCGGCACAGCATCGGTCACATGCTTCACCTCACTCCAACCAGAGAGACAGGTCTAAGAGCAGGAGGAGGGGGAGAAGCATCGGCAGAGGTGCTGTGGATGGGAACGACGAATCAGACGCCTAAGAAGTCCTCTCTGACTGATGCTGACTCAAACAATCAGATAAGTGGGAAACACTCTGAAAATAAGCAGTTTAATTTTTCAGATTTGAATAAAAAATATGTTTAGTTTCATTTGAAGGGTTTAAATTCAACAGTAAGGGAAGTTACTGTAGCATGTTTAATGTTTACATCAAAGAAATGTAAATCTGTTTGATTCTGAATATAACTAGTTATACATTATTTCAATAGTTAATTGTCATGTTTTCATTTCTGAGACAAGAAAATTACAGTAATAGGACTGTTTTCAGCAACAGTTTTCATTAACTGCTAAGATTTTCTTTTGGGTTTACTGAACTAAGTTTGAAATGTATTAACAAATGTGTACTTTGTGTGTTTTGTTTGAGGGAAACACCTAAAACACCACTTTTGATGCTAAAAAGCTCAGAGTTCATTCCTGTGAAGGAGACGCCCACTCCCACCCCCACCAATCATCAACCAGCAAACCAGGCCAAACCAAGCCAAACCAAGCCAAACCAGCAGGCCAAACCAGGGCTAAATGCTGCAACGACAGAAGCAATGATGCAAAGGGTCATCCAGAGGTCAGACTCAAATCAACAACTTGACTCTGTGTGTTTTTGGGACATTTTGCAGATTTCCAAAAAATCTGAAAGACTGGGTTGACCGAAGACATCACCTTTGTGCAAAGATCTGAGGACTGGAGGTTTCCAGTTTTTGCTGTCGGTTCTAAAGTGTGTGAACAGGACAGAGGCTTCTGGACATGATGGGGCTGTGCTGGATGGTGCTGGACATTGCTGGCTGCAGAAGACATTGGGGTGTGGAGGCGTGTCTACAACAGGCGTTACTGGACAATAGGCTTTTTGGTGTGGGGTGTAATTTGCTAACCAAAGTTGACACATTTCAAGTTAATACATTTCAGGTGAAAACATTCCAGGTTAATACATTTCAGGTGAAAACATTCCAGGTTAATACATTTCAAATGAACGTTTAGTTTATACATTTTGATGCTACATTAATTTACATGAGTAAATTGGGTATTTGTGTCTTTTTCATTTCATACACATGAATAATTAGGAATTATGTTCAGTTATTGAGCCATTTTTAATGTCTCAAACAGGGGGGAGATATGGTTTATGGGGGAGCAATTACATATGAATATGAAATGATCTCTAAAAAACTTTTTTTTGAGTTCTTTTCTCTGTGTGTGTTTCTGTAACCAATGTGATTTTTATAAGACACATGTGAAGAGGGGTCTCTAAGTTGAGTCGATGCAACTTGGATTCAAATGTAATACTGTGTTTGTATTAATTTCATTGTGTTCCATTTTTAAGTTGGTTTACTAAACATTGAATGTGATTAATTCTTTTAATGAAAAAAAGGAGGGAATGTTAGTAGAGTTGTTGGATTTTCATTAAAGTGAATTAGAATATATTCAAAGTTTAGACAGTTTTGAGTTAACCTATGTGTGTGATGGGATGTGATGGGCGCATCAGCAGCATTCTCTTCCATCCCCCATGAAACACAGGAAGTTAAATTAAGAAGAGCGTAGAGAACATCTGTTTAGAGTAGCCTCAGGCTTACTTTGAGAGGGGCTACTGTGTGTTTTGGAGAAAGGAGGTATTGTCTTCACCTAAGGATGTTGGGACATGTGTTTCAAATTATCATGGTATAAGACCAGAGTTCTGGGTCCATGTCTTTGTCACTCTGCTGCTACATCCAGCAGAGACCCAGACTGCTGCAGTCTGTAACATGTCTATGTGTGTGATGTCCAGAACACTGAATAGTTATTCACAGAAACCCATATATGACAAAATGACGTGCGCTGACATGCTTGCAATACCATCCCGGGCCGATGGGAGTGGACCCGGAATAAGAATTAGCCAATTCTTACATAGCATCTTCTTACCTCTCGGAAATGTCTTTACAGGATGGTCCAAAAGTTGGCTCTTGGCCCAAAGCTCCGTTCCACATGTGTGTCAATGCTGAGGGGGGTGAATTTTTTTGGACCAGTCTAGTTTACGCGCTGTGATTTTTTTAAGTCACTCGTTTAAATGAATGGGGCTCATGCCGGCTGACGCATGCGCAGATGCGTTTTTTTCACAATTTTCCAGCCCCCGCGGCCATTTTGAAACTGCCCATAGACCCCGGAAGTTGTGGCACATTAGTTATAACCACAGAAATAGGCATGACTACGTCCGTTAATATTTACAGTCTATGCCAAGGACAGATCATGGATATTCTTCTGAACAAAAAGCAGAAAAAACTCATCCTTGAGCAAAAACAATGTAGGTTTCCATGCACTCAGTTCTCTGTTTTTGACACACACACAGACAGACAGACAGACAAACACAGACAGACACTCACACACACACACACACACACACTGGTCTACAATACAAAGCAGCATTAGGACCTGCTCCTCCAAACTAAACGCAGAACGCCTCTTAGCGAAGTCTGCAAACTCTCTGAATGATTTATAAACAATCCATTTTACATTACATTAGTCGTGAACTTTTCTCTATTTCAATTTTCTACCTTTTTCCCCACAGGCCTCTGCACCAACCTACAATAAAGAAAGTGATGTCAAATGAAACTACTTTTTATTCTATACTGCCAAGTCAGCCGTTTGTATCGACGGGACCCCCGGGAGTGTGTGGTAACAATTAGTTAGGTGTAAGCTATGGATTTTCTGTCTGATTCTTGGCCTTTTTTGAACACACTATAATGAATATGCGATCGCACCAGAAGGATCAGATGTAGGCATTTTTTTCCCCAGCCAAGTTTGTGTTTATTTCCTGTTTATTTATTCAGGAGCGCTTTAGTCAGCAACAACAGAGAGCCTGCGAAGCCATTAGAAAGGAGAAAGCTTTTGTGTTCTTCGGATGGAGCCACTCAAAGTCACTGTAAATTAATTATTGACATCACCGTGATAAGCTCTGTCAATAGACTCCAGGAACAAGTTACATATTTGAGGAAGTTGGCGGAAAGAGGCGAGAAGAGAGTTAGAGGGGATAACAGAGAATGAGACATAAGTGGTTTGTTTTAGTGCTATCCCGTAATCCTGTAATTTAGAATATGTACGCACGTTTAGCAATAAGACAGGGGTTTTGAATCTAAAAGTAGTAAAACACCTCAGGCTCATTTTATATACAGTGTTTCATAATGTACGGATGCGAAAGTTATAGGGTGATATGTCTGATTTGTGTCTTTTATCACATAGTTTTAGATTTCTGTTGAGTTTTAAATCTATTAAATGTAGAGCTATACACCATGGGAGTCTTTCTCTACATAACAGACAGAAGCACGTTCAGTAAGCTTTAACTTTAGAGCTTTGTTCTAATTGTATTATTCATAAAGTTGGTGTAGTTGTAGTCGTCGAGTGTTATCACGTTTGTAAAGCAAGAGTCATGAAATTGCAAACAAGTCCAAAAATATAAATTCATATTCAATAACTACAGACTGATGTTCTGCAATATTTATCCATGCAGCATTCATCATGTGACCGTAACATCACACAACGCTGAAGACTGAGAAGGAAGTGACAAAGCACCAGGTGCAGGGGCTGATGGAGTGATGAGGTCATGATGATGTCATGGTGAAGTCATAGTGATGCCAATATGAGTTAACAATGATGTCATGATGATGTTGTGTTGATCTTTGTAAAGAAAATAAAGTCGTGTGGATCCTATTGAAAACCACTGCTGCAGAAGAGGAAAACGGGCTAATTGTGTTTTGAGCCATTTTTTCATTTTAATTGGCAATTGTTTAATGGATGTTTTTGTTCTGGCATGATTATACAAATATGGATGTATTTTCCCAAACCATGTATACTGCTCTAAGCAGCACCCCCAACACCAGAAGAGTGTTGTGTGTAGTTGTTATGGTCTGTAACAGATAACAGCTCCTTTCTCCCCCCTCTCTCCCCCCTCTCTCCCCCCTCTCTCCCCCCTCTCTCCCCCATCTCCCCCCTCTCCCCCTCTCTCGTCCACAGGACTATACGCTGACCATGTACTTCCAGCAGTACTGGCGAGATAAGCGGCTGGCGTACATGGGCATCCCTCTGAACCTGACCCTGGATAACAGAGTGGCCGACCAGCTCTGGGTTCCCGACACCTATTTCCTCAACGATAAGAAGTCCTTTGTTCACGGAGTTACAGTAAAGAACCGCATGATCCGCCTGCACCCTGACGGCACGGTGCTCTACGGCCTCCGGTAAGAACTGAATATGGGGCGCATTTAGAACACAGAGGGTCAGAGGACAGAGGCGTGGATCCAGGACGTTCATGTAGATTCAGTTAATTTGCTATTACCAGTAAAACCACATTGGAATACATGTGCAAAAGTCCTAAGTGTGCAACACAAAAAATGTGTTGCTGTGAAGCCAATTAACAAAAATTGTTCCAATACAAGTGCAAGATCATGAAAGTGCTTTGTTCAGCAGCTTGTGGAAAGGAGCTGTTAGCATGTTAGCATATGCAGATGTCCTGCATCTCAGGCAACAAAATCTTCTGCCAGAGAGAAGAAGCTGGGACATGGGTTCTCCAGGGGCCAGAAGAGTCATTGATTATTCTATGAGCTGGATTTAAGAGTCTGGATTCATAAAGAACCTCAAGAATATACAGCTCACAGTCCTCTTTCAGAGCGGAGCACCTCTCTCTGGTCTCTCTCTCTAGTCTCTCTCTCTCTCTCTGGTCTCTCTCTCTAGTCTCACAGCTCACAATCCTTACTTTGTTAAGAGCTCTCCTTTCTTTGGCTGTGATGTCACTGAACCACACGGTCTTATTCTAAGTAGCAATGTGTAAGATTCATTAAATGGCCCTAAGATTTCAAAAGGCAATAATAAAACATGTTCTTTTCAAATACTTCTTTAACTGGTAGCGGTAGTTCAGCCGAGATATTTGGATTTCAAAATTAGTTTTTACAGCCCCTTGTTATTATTTTCATTTCGATGTACCGCCCTCCACCGTTTTAACAATCAGAAAGTCCGTGATCCGGGTTGCCAGAGCTCACCGTGTCGAGCTAATCTCACTGGTAAAGTACCATGTGGCAAAGAACTAAAAAAGGTCTTGTTATGATAATGACAAAACAAGGAATAAAACCAGGATTTCTATCTTTGTGAAAAAGGGGTTGGCTGTAGATTTGTTGTTGAAAAAACTATTTATTCAGATATTATGCTCCCAGCTGAATTTGTCTGCATATCTGGCTACCTGAGTCAGGGAGAGTGCAGCACCACTTTTGGCCAGATTTGTACATTTATAAGGACATTTATTAACATTTGCTTCTTATGGACCAATGGTTTGAACTGTTTGATTGTTTTGAATCTGAAACTGTTGTGAGAGGGGAATTGAACATATAAATGAGCTTTGTTTCTGTTGTTTCTTTAGGATCACGACGACGGCCGCCTGTATGATGGACCTGCGCAGATACCCACTGGACGAACAGAACTGCACTCTGGAAATTGAGAGTTGTAAGTGTAATCGGTGAATTTTTACTTAACTTAACATGGAAAGGAAAATGTATTTGTGTGGCACAGTTGAAACACAAGACAACTCAAAGTGCTTAACAAAACAAGACATTCAAATCCTAAATATTCACAGTACTGTACAAAGAGTGAAGATACAATCCTTCAGTTGTATGCACATCTAAACAGAACTGTTTTTAATCTGGATTTCAACATTGTCAGATAAGAATCCTGTCTCACATTATCACAAAGACTGTTCCAGAAAATGTTTCTGAGTCCCAAGACGGGGGGCAGTCCTCCTTGGTTCATATGGCATAACATGTCACTAATACAGTATATTTTGGTACGAGGCCATGGAGAGAATTGTAACAACCAGAGCTGCTTTAAAGTCTATTCTCTGAGCCACAGGAAGCCGAGACCTGAGAACTGGACTAATGTGATCTTACTTCCTGGTTCTAGTCAGGACTCAAGCTGCAGCATACTGTATACTGTTTTACACCTTGTTTGGAGATTGTAGAGTGCAGTGAGCAGACCTTTACTGGCAAATACACTAGCTAATGTGCAGCACGGTGGCTGAGTGGATAGAACTCTCGCTTCTGCTCAGCAAGAAGGTCCTGGGTTCAAAACCTGGTCTGAGTCGAGTTTGCATGGTCTCCCTGAGTCTGTGTAGGTTTCCTCCAGGTGCTCTGGTTTCTCCTACCACTAAAAACATGTACAATATGTCTAGCTTGCGACCCCACTCTCATCTTTTTGTGGAGACAAATGCCCACAATTGTAAAGCGCTTTGTGACTCTGGTCTGTGAAAGGCGCTATATAAGTAAAACAAAGAAATGAAAAGATAAAGAAATAAATACTTTTCGACTTGATCTATTATGTGAAAAATGCAATATAGAGAATACTTGAAATCCCAGTATAGACTTATTATTCCCCATTGTGAGGGAGACCCTGACGCCCGATTCCAATTGAACTAGCCTACGTGATAGACCACACACATATCTCCCCTCTTTCATCAGCTAAATATGAAAAGTGAGAGTGATAAAAAACTTCTCTGGCTCCTCATGTCCCAGGCTCAGATAGTGCTCCGGCTTCGGTGGACGATTTATGGAGCTGTCGCCGCAGATGAGATTGCAGCCGTTGGAAGCGTCTGTCTCGGTCCTGGTGGGAGCAGACACTTCCACCGCAGCAGTAATCAGCAGCTATATTCATCAGGGCTGGACCGCGGTGTAAAATATTGAATTGTAATTAATCTTACTGCGATTAGATTTAATGTGAAATATTTTATAATAGTTGGATTCTGTTCGAGAGAGACTGAAGCAGGGCATGGAGCAGTGATTTAGATTCATTTTAGAGTTCTACAAGATATGACTCAAATACGAATGGTGGCATAATTTTTCAAGCTATTTTATTTTCTAACTGTTTTCTCATTGGGGTTTTGATTCATTCGTTGCTGATTCAGGAGGGTCTAAGGACAGTGATGACTCTGGACATTTATGCACATTTATTAACAGTTATTGACTTAAAAATGATAAAATATGAGGTAATAAATGCTTGGATCGAGTGTTTTTATCTTAATCTGAGCACATTCTGACTGTGTTAAAACAAGATTTTCTCATTCCAAGGGAGACATTTCTTGTATATTTTAAAATGAGTTCATCTTTCTTTGTCCCATTGGCAAATCTGGTTTTAAGACAGTCAGAATGTGCTCAGATTTGACTTTTTGGCTTCTAGGTTGCAGCAGGTTTTTGTCAAATTTGTCAAAAAAACAATTGCACTTGTACGAACTGGTACGAACCGGTACGAACTGGTACGAACCTCTGGTGGTGGCATAGGGAGTTGCAGGCAGAAAGTTTGTTCTACTCCATATTGTATTTTTCTACTGAAGATATGTTTTCACATTTGAAAACATGAAATGCCAAAGAAAACTATTTAGCTGCCCTGTGTTAAGCCAAAAAAGCTTCTGAACATGTTTTGGAAGCCTGAACATTGGGAATTGGCCACAAGAAAGTCCCAACCCCAGTGAGAGTAACCCCAACATCACCTACTGTACTTACAAAAAAGACCCCTCTGAGTCACTATTTGACTCTTTGGACTTGAGGACTGGTGTCTGAGTGAGGACAGTACTCTCTTTAACACTTTTCTGTCTGAAAAAGATGATTTAAAGATGTGACAGAGGCTAAAGATGGATGCAGGTGAAAACTATAGGTGAAAATAAAAGTATTAGCTCCTAGCCCTAGCCAGGTTCAAGCTACAGTGTTCTTTGGCTTTTTACATAACAAGACTGAAGAGTTGATTTTGCAAAGGACTTGAGGGAAAAACTAATTGTGCTAATTGTGAGCGTTCAGATTGTGATTTTGATTCCATAGCGATATATTTCTCTCTCCTTCATCCACCAGCTCCTCGGCTCGGGCTCGGTCTCCTCCATAAAACCATCATGGCCTCAGTCTGTCTGGATACAGTGACACACGACTCTAGATTTATGCCCGAAGCAATCAGCATTTAGCACTTGATTCATGCGCCGTACTGTAAATCAGATGCAGCTACAGATTCCAATCCGAGCAAATACAAACAACTGCGTTTTGAATAATTGATACAGACGTTGCTTTCTGATTTAAAAGAGCTGTGTTTTCATACCTGCTGCTTTCAGTATTAGTACAGTATTGGCCCTGAATTCTGCGGATTTTTGTTTTCTTTTACATTGGTTCTCTTGTTTTACTGTATGTTTTACTTCCTGTCCTGGTCCCATGTTGATTGTCTGTCCCTTATGTGCTTCACCTGTGTCTCTTTCTATACGTCCCATCTGCTATATCTGCTCTATACATCCCCATTTGTAGCCATTAGTCTTTTTCTCTGTGGTTTTTCCCCTCGGTTCCTATATGTACAGTTTTGGATTGGGTTAAAAACTGAAACCAGGGACAACATGGGGGAGGGGGGACCAACAACATAGGATCTAAATACGCACAGTAGACTGCAGGTAACACATCAGGGAGGAGAAAACCATCAACAGGACAAACAGGAAGTACAACTCAAGTCAACAAAAAGTCCACATGATTATACAAATCTATTCATATTATACAAATATATTCATATTTGTATAATCCATGACAGATTCACCTTGGACATTGTTAAATTGAATACAGTAATTACACATTCCTTTGTGTGTTTTCACCACGTGACACTATATATTTATCTATTTACGCAGAAGTTTTTTCCTTATTTGAAGCTGGGGTGCTTTGTTAAATATTCAAATCTATTTCAAGTCTACAAAAGACAACATGTTTGCACGCTTTAGGCTTAGACCTGACTGTCTGAGTGAGGCTGGTTTTCCAGTGTTCCGTCTCAGTCCTGTAATGCTTGTGTGAAAGTACATTCTTTACAATCACATAGTTGTAGTCGGTATTTTTTTAATTTGAGAAACAAGACACAATGTTGATCTGCTCCTTCTGGTTGTAGCATAGCGAGTTACATGCGGAAAAACATTATTTCTCACATTATTTATTTATCTATTTATTTTGTGTTTATTGTTCTTTCTGTGCTTGCTTTATAAATACATGTGCCTTGCCAATTACCCTTCATATGTTTTTCTACTTTCTAAAACATGAAATAATAAAGTGAAGTTCCATGATATTTCTTCCTAAAGTTTCAAATATCACAGTCATTAAAAATGACAGTGTACACACAGGAAATCATTGTTTTTATGGTGAGATTTTGAAAAAAAAATTTGTTTTGCTTAGAATGCTTCAACTCACTTCACTGTGGTGTTTCAGACGGATACACGACCGACGACATCGAGTTCTACTGGAAAGGAGGCGAGACGGCAGTGACTGGAGTGACCAGGATCGAGCTGCCGCAGTTCTCCATCGTCAACTACAAACTGGTGTCTAGGAACGTGGTGTTTTCCACAGGTAACAGTCATAACGACTGCTCTGTCACAGTGACTGCTCAGAGACTGATGCTGTTCACAGAACCTCAGAAGCTTAGCAGAACATGGCCGTGTGTGTGTGTGTGTGTGTGTGTGTGTGTGTGTGTGTGTGTGTGTGTGTGTGTGTGTGTGTGTGTGTGTGTGTGTGTGTGTGTGCGTGTGTGTGTGCGTGTGTGTGTGTGTGTGTGTGTGTGCGTGCGTGCGTGTGTGCGTTTGTGTGTGTGTGTGTGTGTGTGTGCGTGCATGTGCGTGTGTGGTTGATGTTGGTCAGAGAGGCTGATGGCACAGATTAGTTGCCACACTTCTGTCAGTCTTCCCCACGGCAGCTTTGGCTAAAAGTGTAGTTTACATCACGGGAATCCTCGTAGACACTCAGCGACTATGAGTGTCGAGGAAAGTGTTATATAAGTAAGTAGCATACATTAATATTCGTATAACGCTGCGACAGCGCCGCAGGGAGGAGACCAGGAGGCCCCAGTGTCAATCTCTCTCTGACTGTGGACGAGAGCGAAAGCATGAGAACTGTGAATGGAAAATACTCAAGAAATGTTATTTAAGACAATCAATAGTACAATAATAAGATAATAAACTCTGGAGCTATGTTTGCACTTGGGTCAAGGATAAGTCACTTGTGGAGTACACACTGTAGACAGCAGCATCATTTACAGATGATTTCATATCAGAGTTGGGAGCTGCTCATCTGTAGAGGAAAAAATATCTGCATCAATATTTTCCGCCGCCATGTTTTTCCTTTCTGGTAGAAGATGGCTGAAGCAGAAGCAGAAGCAGCCGCTACAATAGTGCATGTTATAGATGGACAGACTCCCATTATTTAGAGTTTGTTGGAGACAAAGATGTGGAATATAACAGTTAAGTGACTTTATGTTCAAACCAAAAGCTATATCAACTTCACGCAAGAGCCTCATAAGCTACATTTAGTTTGTGTATATATATATTTGGTGAAATTAAATACTAAGCAAAACATAAAAGTAATGCAGTAGTAGTGTAACGCTTTACATTGAAATTACAGTAACAAGTAATACATGATATAAAAGTAATGATAATAATCAATTGGTTTTTATTTAGCCCAAAGACGCTTTACAGTGGGTGGTAAACTACTACTGTGGCCACAGCTGCCCTGGGGCACACTGACAGCGAGGCATTCACACACACCAGCCTCATTATAGATTCTTGCCTAAGGGCACAACAACAATTTGGCTCTTAACAGCCGCAGCTGCCCCGCTCAAATCACATCTGGTGTTCCCAAAGATCTCCCATCACAGTACCAACCAGGTCCCGCCCTGCTTAGCTTGAGACGTCTGATGAGATCTGGCTTTCGCATGTGAGTATGGTCTACCACTCAGTTATTTATGAAGTAACTGAGGGCATGTTGTACTTTAGCAACAGAGAATACACCCAGATACACAATAGTAAAACTAGCAGCAGGTAAAGTGACTAGTGAATAATCATAACAGATGAAATGACTGATGTAGTACGTGATAAAAGCAGGTTTACAGTCAGGACAAAGCTGGTCTCTGCTCAGTCTGTTCTCCTTCCAACACTGGCCATCACGGTTCAGATCCAACACTCGCCGTCTGTCCCTGAGCCATGAGCATCGTTAGCTTCAGTCGTTAGTGAAGCATAAACAGCATCAATTATTCTCAAACAAAACACTGGAAAAATACAAAGGCCGATCCCACAGCAGAGAGGAGCCGCCAGCCGGGTCTGTGGAGAGGCGTTTACAACTCATTACTGTCAGGGTCAAATGTTGATTCAAATAAAGTCCGAAGAGTCGGCACAGCTGGGGCCGCTGCCAGGGAAACACGGGAGGGAGTAGTCTCTGGCTTTTACATAAGAATCATCTGAAGCATTCTTCCACACGGGTTTGAACCTTAACCACAACTGGAACTCGTTCTACAGATCAGGCATGTCAAACTCGGGCCCGTGGGCTAAATCCGGCCCACAACGACATTTTTAGTGGCCCCTAAAATGATTTTCTATTATTATTATGATTAACTTGGAGCATTGATGGTTATGGCTCACCAACGCATGTTATTATAACCCTACACATCAATAGAAGTGAAAAAGTTAAATATAGAACAATATGCATAACTTTATATTTGTTCCATTTTTCGTTGAATCTAAACAGACATTACATTTTGTTTTCAGAAAAATCAACCAGGTATTTTGACATAAAAGTCTGCTGTAGATTCAGAGTGGACTGAAGCGATATGAGATTTGTTTTAGAATAATAAGAACTAGTAAGTTATCTTTAATTACCGCTGGAGCGACACACTTCTTAAAAATATATGATCTTTCAGTTATATATTGTATTAGCAGTGCGTAGGGGAAATGAGAAGCCTGTGAGCGAGTTGAAGGGCGGTGCTAAACATTCAAACCTTGCAGAAATGGGTATAGCGCCTTTAAGACTGGTAAGGATCCAGGGCATTTAAAAACAAGGACTACCAGAATTCTGAAACTATTACAACTCCCAGACTCGTCATCTTTACTCTCTGAAGAATTCCCCCAAAGGAATGTTTAGTTTTCACAAGATTTATTCAAAAAAAGTCATTTATAAACTTTTAATAAGTGCTAAAACTGGTCATTATACATTAAAAACAGCGAAACAAGGGCCTGGTTAGTATTGCGATGGGAGACCTCAGGGTACACCAGGGGCCACAGTGGGTGTATCTGTTTGTATGTGTATGTGTGTGAGTCTGGTGTGTTTGTCTGTTAGTTAGTTATTTATTTATTCATTTCAACACCTGCACAAAACAAGATACAAATATCAATTATCAAATGAAAAACATGTCACAAGTTTTGAAAAAGGGGGTTGGGTGAAGCAGACGCTTATACATTTACAACCCCCCCTCACACATACAGCAAAGCATCAAATACAAATTACACTAACAGTGTACTGTACAGTTATCATTATATCAAATTAAATAAACAAGACACACAAAGACAAGACGCACACTCGATCTCTCACTCACACAGACACTGGCTCAAACACTCCCTGACCACACACCTCTCTCCCACCGCTCTGTCCATGCCCAGGGCATCAATCTCTGTTCGCCATATATGTATATCTGCATGTGTGTGTTTGTATGCGTGTGTGGTTCTATGATCTGTTTGTATAGTCCCCTGAGAATACTGCTGTTGTGACAGGGTTATACAGGAATACATTGAATTGAAGTGTGTGTGTGTGTGTGTGTGTGTGTGTGTGTGTGTGTGTGTGTGTCTCTGCGCGCCTGACTAATAAGTGGTGGTTAGAGGGGCTGATAATAGAGATTAGCCTCAGGGCAGCTGTGGCTTTCTCTGGATGTCATGAAAGCAGGCATGAAGTACTATACATTGTTATTCTTACATCGTGTCTTCGGGCGTCCAAACAAACTCTGAATAAATGTTTAATCCATCCATATTTTTGGGTGCTTTTAAACTATATTACATTATAAACAATGACGCAAACAGCAGCTGACGGTTGCATCAGGATGTGTTGTTCATCAGACTGAGTTTCTACTACAGCGTGAGTCGTGCGTCAACGCTCGAGTGTTTTGTTTGTTTCTGATGAGCTCTAGTTTAACTCAAGGCCAAATTACATCAGACGATTTCAGCCGGACCCACGCCTGCCTGTTCCCATGGCGACCAAACCCATGAAGAGGGTGACGCTTGGAATGAAATAAAATGCATTTCCTAAATGCGAATGTTATTAAATCTATCCTAGTTCTAGTCCTGCATCCCGTGACCTCGGTCCTCGTTCTACAGCGTGAGTCCTGGATCTGCAGCCTGTATGCCTCAATGTGTTTTCCTGCTGGGTTTCTTTGGTTGTTCATTGCCGATGCAGGAGGGTTTAAGGACAGAGATGATCCAGAACACTTATGGACATTTATTACCATTAATGGACATTGGTCATCTGCCCCTTATTTGTTTGTTTATCATTGCATTTCTTTACTATTTGATTTTCTGATCCATGTTGGCGAATTGACAACTTCTCAGAGATAATTGCTGTTGTGAATTAGGGCTCTGTAAAACTAAATTGAATTTAGTTGAATTAAACACAAGTTAGGACCCAAAAAACTTCCCAAAACCTCATAGTATTTCTTGTTTATTCAGTAGGGTTGCCAAAAGTCTAAGATAAATCATTACTAAAACTTACTAAACACTCTTTTCAAATATCACATAAAGTGTACAAAATGTGATTTTAATATTTTAAACTCACATTTTGTGAGACACTATAACATTGTATCACCGATCATGTCGAAGTGAGTGCTTGTTGTTGACTGCTATAGTAGATTATCGTTGTGGTATTGAAATTGGCCTCGAGTCTATTTCTAGTGTCAGAATCGAGTTTGTAATCGAAATTGTAATTGTGCGTGTGTTAGGGCTGTCAAAATTATAGCATTAACTCACGTTAATTACATGTCCGAATGACCCGCCCATGTATCCCATAATAACACTCAGAATGGGTGTGCGTGTGTGAGATGGAGACAGAGCAGGTAGGCCCTCTGGGAATCAAGTTTTAAAAGAATACGCACATGACCGCGGGGCACTTACTGTTGTTTGCTGTATGAACTGAAGTCTGCATCCTCCGTGGCCGCAGTGTTCTGACCCGGGGCAGCTGCGGTCGCTCAGGACAGAGGTCCCCACCTCCAGCGGCTGTGAGACGCTAACAACAACACGCCAAATGGCGCCGCGGTAAAGTTATCCAAGACCGTACACGCACAGAACTGTTCTCTGCATGTTGTGTCTTTGTGTAACCTGTGTAAGCTGTGCACGCAAATACTACAGCTGAAGCGGAACTATGGAGCCTCAGGAAGTGTCCGTGTCTCCTCCTGAAACGCCACTTAACTCGCTAAATTAAAGCTGGGGTACGTAAATCTTCCCTTTCATTAACAGCTCATTATGGTTGAGCCCAAAAGTAAAAGGTTGTGAGCAAATCAAACAGATTTAATGACATTTGGTATGAATGAGAATGTGTCATTACATTTGATAATCTCATTTAACTTCAATTGAAGTGGATATTAAATAGAATGTTAAGAATGCGATTTATCGTGAGTTAACTCACGATTAATCAACTAAAAAATTTAATCGTTTGACAGCCCCAGAGTGTGTGTGTGTGTGTGTGAGTCTCTTGTGTGTCTCTGTCGCATAATGGAACTTATTGGATCCCATTGAATTTCTTCATCCAAAAATGCATCAGATTTGTATCTGTAATTGTTAGTGTTGCTCCAGTTCCCAAAGTGAGGTCCTCTTCTGCTGCAGGTGCCTACCCTCGACTGTCGCTGAGCTTCAAACTGAAGAGAAACATCGGATATTTCATCTTACAGACGTACATGCCCTCCATCCTGATCACCATCCTGTCCTGGGTCTCCTTCTGGATCAACTACGACGCTTCAGCCGCAAGAGTGGCTTTAGGTACCGCACTATTTCTACACTTTACAATGATCATTTGATAATATATTATTGATAAGATTTGTGGAGGAGAGAAGAGAAGTTAGGACCAATGACGTTCAAGGATTTGAATTCGTTTCGAGCTGCAGAGGTGGCTTCATTCACATAAAAAAGTTACCGACATTCACTTTAAAGTAAATCAAAACACTTTGTTTCTCTCAAGTCTAAACTTTATCTTTTATTTCTTTATGATTTAATTTTGCGTGTTTTTAATAAATTCTGTTCCAATGCGAGAAAAAGTCAGGCATGATCCTCCTATGATCCACCAATATTTTGGGAGGACTAAACTGAAAAGTAAGATGATGTCCTGGGCTGAATCCACCGTCTCCAACCTTGCTTCCAGAGCAGCAGCAGAATGTGACCCGCTCATCTCTCTACAATGATTGGCTGTATTCGCCAAATTCGACGAGTAGAAAGTTACTGTTTACCAAGTAAAGTCCGACTGACAGCGCTTTCTGTAAAGCAATCAGTGAAGCGTTCTATTTGTTTTCTCTGTGCTTCGTAAAATCTGAGTAGACAAGAGAAAAGTATGCCAAGGTTTCTACCAGAAAATTACTTAGTATTAGTAAGTGACCTCGTCCTTCATTTTGCACGTGCGTATGGTCCAGTGATCAAGATCAGGTGACTCCAGTCTTACAGACGGAGTTTGATTCCCTGAAAACATTAAATACATTTAAACCTTTTCATTTGTGTCCAAAACCAAACCAAACCTACGGCATTGCTGAAAATAGACATTTGGGGAGTTGCGGTACACATTCTGGTAGACATTCCAATTACATTCCAATAACATTCCTGTGGATAAATGTTAGATTATTCTGACAGAGGCTGAGGTCCTCAGATGAAATATAATCCTGGTCTTTTGGAGCAGATCCTCCTCGTTTAACTCGAGAACATGGACAAGAGAGAATACAGAGAGTTACATATATTTCACACTTGATTAAGAATCTCAAATCAAAATATATGTTCATAATTGCATAATAAGGCCTTTATAAGGTGTGTGTGTGTGAATGTAATTATTTTTTATTTACATTTGTTTCATTCATTGTCTCTCTTCTGATGATGTGCCTCTGGATAAACCATCAGGAGCATCACAGAGCTTTCAGTTCAATTTCAAGTATTTATGCCCTAAATCACTGTGAATGCCACTATCTCTCAATTATTATTTTAAAGTTATAATTATATTAAGACGGAAAATAGCAGAACTGATTCTTTGTTACAGCTCTTTATATAACGGTCTGGACTGTTCATGTTTAGTATTTAAAACCCTATTTGCACGGGATTAGTTTTACCTGTGGACCTCTGGAAATGTTCCAATGACTGCCCCACCTCTGTGTTACTTGCAGCGCTTTCACACGGGAAAAGCAAAGTCTGTAAATTACTGTATTTTCACTGACATTTCACATAACAGACGTGCGCGAGTCTCTCCGCTTCACACAGCCCAAAGAACGCAAGAGCCACGTGGGTCTCCTCTGGTCAGGAGAGGCGTTCGTCAGGAGAGGCGTTCGTCAGGAGAGGCGTTCGTCAGGAGAGGCGTTCGTCAGGAGAGGCGTTCGTGAGGCGTTCGTCAGGAGAGGCGTTCGTCAGAAGAGGCGTTCGTCAGGAGAGGCGTTCGTCAGGAGAGGCGTTCGTCAGGAGAGGCGTTCGTCAGGAGAGGCGTTCATTAGGAGAGGCTTTCGTCAGGAGAGGCGTTCGTCAGGAGAGGCGTTCATCAGGAGAGGCGTTCGTCAGGAGAGGCGTTTGTCAGGAGAGGCGTTCATCAGGAGAGGCATTCGTCAGGAGAGGCGTTCATCAGGAGAGGCGTTCGTCAGGAGAGGCGTTCATCAGGAGAGGCGTTCGTCAGGAGAGGCGTTCATCAGGAGAGGCGTTTGTCAGGAGAGGCGTTCGTCAGGAGAGGCGTTCGTCAGGAGAGGCGTTTGTCAGGAGAGGCGTTCGTCAGGAGAGGCGTTCATCAGGAGAGGCGTTCGTCAGGAGAGGCGTTCGTCAGGAGAGGCGTTCGTCAGGAGAGGCGTTTGTCAGGAGAGGCGTTTGTCAGGAGAGGCGTTCATCAGGAGAGGCGTTCATCAGGAGAGGCGTTCGTCAGGAGAGGCGTTCATCAGGAGAGGCGTTTGTCAGGAGAGGCGTTCATCAGGAGAGGCGTTCATCAGGAGAGGCGTTCATCAGGAGAGGCGTTCATCAGGAGAGGCGTTCGTCAGGAGAGGCGTTTGTCAGGAGAGGCGTTCGTCAGGAGAGGCGTTCATCAGGAGAGGCGTTCGTCAGGAGAGGCGTTCGCCAGGAGAGGCGTTCGTCAGGAGAGGCGTTCGTCAGGAGAGGCGTTCGTCAGGAGAGGCGTTCGTCAGGAGAGGCGTTTGTCAGGAGAGGCGTTCGTCAGGAGAGGCGTTCGTCAGGAGAGGCGTTTGTCAGGAGAGGCGTTTGTCATTATAGTGTGCTGCTAAAAAGCTTCAAAACTGCAAATTAACATTTCTACTTGAAATGTCTTAACATCCACACTTTAGTGCAACAAACTTTACTTGTTTCCCTTCCGCTCTAGCGCCGCTATGATCACCAGCCACTGATTGGTCAGAACGGGGCCATGCACCTCTTTGCACGTGCTTAAAAGCATCATGGGAGCTTGTCCAGTGCGTAGAACCGCGAGGACCAGAGGATGTCCAAATATACTGTATCTGCTAATCTTTCGGCCCCCATGGCTGACCCGTGCACCACTGAGCACAAGACATTGATTTCAGAAGGATAGCACGGTGGCTGAGTGGATAGCACTCTTGCTTCTCAGCAAGAAGGTCCTAGGACCGTGCCTTTCTGAGAGGAGTTTGCATGTTCTCCCCGTGTCTGCGTAGGTTTCCTCCGGGTACTCCAGTTTCCCCTACCACTAAAAATATGTACAATAGGTCTGTTATGGGCCTCCTGTATGGCGACCTCACTCCCATCTCTGTGTGGAGTGAGAGACAAATGCCCACAATTGTAACCCGCTTTGTGACTCTGGTCTGTGAAAGACGGTATATAAATAAAGATTACTATCTATCCATCTTTGATCGCCAGGGCTTGGTTTAAACAGATACAGTAATATAATTCATCCATCATACATGTCACCTACCCAACAGTGGTGTTTCTTGACCAGGTACATCTCTGTATTGATAATCTGCTTGAAAGTTATTCTACACCATCTGTTTAACCATCTTTTAAGATTTATATCATGGACATTGTATTGTAAATCAGAATAACTCCACTTTAAACTTATGTTGAGAAAAGACCATAGATGATTTGTACATGTGACCTGTTTTCCTGGGACACTTGCAGTACCATTTAAAACCGGTTTCATTCCCACATAACAAGTCCAAATCTGTCATATGCTCTATAATTATGTATGCAATCCTGATATGACAGATATATTGTGATCTGGATTGGCCAAACGCAGCCGCAGCAGCAGTTATTGTCGATGGAGCATTAAAAATGGAGAGAATGACCTCAGTCCTCACTTTATTTATTTGCAATTTATGCTGAGTGGGTTCAGTACCGGAGCCGTAAAGCAGGACCTGTTTTCTGCTTAGCAAAGCAGAGTCGTTCTGACGCTCTGTCCCGTGTGCGTCCCTATCCATCTATTCCACAACTATTTGTCTTGTTTCCTTGTGATTGAGAAGTCCAATTCATGCAGGAGGCGCGGCTGCATTTGAATTATGACTCGCGATAATGGCAATGTATTTGGATTCTATAGAGCCAATTATAAAAAGAGAAATGGCCGGTGTATTGTGGAGTATGAATAGAAATGGGATGTTTTAGCGTGTTAAAAGCTGATCTATTCAAATCATCAAATATTCATGTGAAATATCAAGTGTTGAAATTGAGATTTTAGCATTTCATGAAACATAATTGCTCAGTCCGAATGTGATGGCGGCGATAATGTGATGGATTGTGAGGTTTCGATCTGATATCTACCAACCGCTAATCTGTAATAATGTGCAAATAATAGAGAAATGGTGACACGAAATTTTAAAGAAGACATGATAACTTTCTGTGTGTTGGACCCAAAAGACAGAGACAGATGAGGTTTGATTAAATGGTTTTAATTTACAAACAAAACAAAAGCAAGTGTGCAGTGGAGGCAGGGAGCTGCATGGACACTCTTACTCAATCATGCATGCAGGCACAGACACAGGCCCAAACTCTGGCTATCTCTCTGGTCTCTCTCTGGTCTCTCTCTGGTCTTTCTCTGGTCTCTCTCTGGTCTATCTCTGGTCTCTCTCTGGTCTCACTCTGGTCTCTCTCTGGTCTCACTCTGGTCTCTCTCTGGTCTCTCTCTGGTCTCACTCTGGTCTCTCTCTGGTCTCACTCTGGTCTCTCTCTGGTCTCTCTCTGGTCTCACTCTGGTCTCTCTCTGGTCTCTCTCTGGTCCCTCTCCCTCTTTCTGGTCTCTCTCTCTGGTCTTTCTCTCTGATCTTTCTCTCTGGTCTCTCTCTGTCTCTCTCTAGTCTTTTTTCCATCCCTCTCCATGATCCCTCTGGCCTCTCTCTGCATGGCCTCTCTGGTTTCTCTCTTTGGTCTCTCTCTGATCCCTCTCCCGTGGTCTCTCTCTCTGGTCCCTCTCTGGTCTCTCTCTGGTCTCTATCTCTTCCCTCTCACTGATCTTCCTGGTCTCTCTCTGGCCTCTCTTGTCTCTCTCTGGTTTCTCTCTTTGGTCTCTCTCTCTGATCCCTCTCCCGTGGTCTCTCTCTCTGGTCCCTCTCTGGTCTCTCTCTGGCCTCTCTTGTCTCTCTCTGGTTTCTCTCTTTGGTCTCTCTCTCTGATCCCTTTCCCATGGTCTCTCTCTCTGGTCCCTCACTGGTCTCTATCTCGTACCTCTCCCTGGTCCTTCTGGTCTCTCTCTGACCTCTCTCTTACCTCTCTAGTCTCTCTCTGGTCTCTCAAAAATTGTCTACATTTTATTGCCCACTTATTTGTTTATGGTTTCATAATGAGCCACTGCAGCTTTTCGAAATGACAGCCGCAGGTTTAAACAGTGGCCAACAACAATAACAACATAATTTTTCTTTAACCGTGCATTTCTGTCTCAGGTATCACCACGGTGCTCACCATGACCACCATCAACACTCACCTGCGAGAGACGCTTCCAAAGATCCCGTACGTCAAAGCCATAGACATGTACCTGATGGGCTGCTTCGTCTTCGTCTTCCTCGCGCTGCTGGAGTACGCCTTTGTCAACTACATCTTCTTCGGCCGCGGCCCCCAGATGCAGAAAAAATTGGCCGAGCGAGCGCAGAAGGCCAACAACGAACGCAATAAATTCGACAGGCCCAAGGTGAGACGCAGATTTAATCCAGGATCAGGTGACAGGGGATAGATCAGGACTGGAGGTTTAGGGGAAAGAGGAAATCATGTTTTTTCTCTCTTGCTTTTGTCTTATCTTTCTCTCTGGCTTATCCGTCTCTAGTCTCCCTCTCTGTTCTGGAGACTTCTCTCTCTGGTCTCTCTATTCCCACTCCGGCCATTCTCTCTGGCCTCTCTCTATGGTTTCTCTGGTCCTTCTAATCTCTCTCTGGTCTTTCTTCCCGGCCTCTATGGTCTCTGTCTTTCCCTCTCTCTCTCTGGTCTCTGTCTCTCTAGTCTCTCTCCGGTCTTTCTCCCCGGCCTCTATGGTCTCTGTCTTTCCCGCTCTCTCTCACTTTCTCGCTTCTCTCTCTCTCTCTGGTCTCTGTCTCTCCGGTCTCTTTTCGGTCTTTCTCCCCAGCCTCTATGGTCTCTCTCTCTCTCTCTCTCTCTCTCTCTCTCTCGCTTTCTCAATAAATTCGACAAGCTCAAGGTGAGACACATATTTAATCCAGGGGGAAGTGACAGGAGATAGATCAGGTGGGGGAGACTGGAGGATGTACCTACATGGTTTAGGGGAAAGAGGGACAGAAATCATGTTTTTTTCTAATGACATTTGGAGGAGGAGGTTTTCCCGATATTGGATTGAGTATGAAATATGTTATTCTGTATGAAGGAGTGACGAGCATTAACAACATAATAAAGTACGACATGATGGAGACTCCCACACAATTAGAACTGAAAGAACACTATAAATAATCATTTACTGCACAAAAAAAAGTTAAATTAATGAAAATGTTCGAGTGAGAAGTGCATTCGGGAATCAAATAATAAAGGTGCTCTGTGAAGATCTGTGGGGGAAAAACCTGAAGAACAAGGAGCAAAAGGTCCTTCTTGCTTCTCAGCAAGAAGGACCTGGGTTCAAATCCCGGTTGTAACATGGCCTTTCTGAGTGGAGTTTGCATGTTCTCCTTGTGTCTGAGTAGGTTTCCCCTACCACTAAAAACATGCACAATTGGTAAAATCCTCCAGCTCCAATAGTCCTGACCAAGCCGAGCATCAACATATGGAGATGGGTTCCCGGTCACTGTACTACGGCGACCACTGTTTCTGACGGAAGCCTTAGTGGCGTCAGGATCTGGGTCAAATGCAGATGACACATTTCCCTACGGGGACAATAAAGTGCACATTTAGATTTTGCTTTGATTGATAAGATAAAATAACATAAGATTTGTGATTTTTTTTTTTTAAAACGTCGCTTTGATTGCTGTTATTGTTATTAGACAGATGCAAACATAGAAATAATGCAGGAGAGGAAGAACAAATTGTTGACCATACAGTATGTGTATGCAGTAGTGTTGTCACTGTGCAGAATGTCACATTTGATTTTGACACTACAAAAACATTTTTGATGCTATTTTTTATTAATACACTCTGTGAAGGAAAAAAAAAATGAACACCACATAAACAATCCATTGAGTGTTCCAGGCCCCAACATTCACTTGTTCTTTTGATACCCCATATTTGGTCTCTCTCTCTGGCCTCTTTCTGGTCTCTCTCTCTGGTCTCTCTCTCTGGTCTCTCTCTGGTCTCTATATGGCCTATCTCTAGTCTCTCTCTCTGGTCTCTCTGGTCTCTCTCTCTCTGGTCTCTCTGGTCTCTATATGGCCTAACTCTGGTCTCTCTCTCTGGTCTCTCTGGTCTCTCTCTCTCTGGTCTCTCTCTGGTCTCTATATGGCCTATCTCTAGTCTCTCTCTCTGGTCTCTCTGGTCTCTCTCTCTCTGGTCTCTCTGGTCTCTATATGGCCTAACTCTGGTCTCTCTCTCTGGTCTCTCTGGTCTCTCTCTCTCTGGTCTCTCTGGTCTCTATATGGCCTAACTCTGGTCTCTCTCTCTGGTCTCTCTGTTGCTGTCTCTGGTCTCTCTATACCTGACTGAAACAAAAATAGTTGTATTACGATTAAGAGAGTCTTCACGGCCCACTCCAGCATCCACATGTTCTTTTGACAAATGCATAAAAAAAACCTAAAAAAACCAAAGTGTCTTCTCTCTTCTGGCCAGTCGTCCGTGGACTCAGGTAACTGCAGGAAACTGTCCAATCAGTTTGTGGCTCGACGTCACTCTCGAGGGGTGAGTCCAAAGGCTGCTGTGTGAAGCTGCATTAAAACTTTGTCTCAGAGCAAAGTTTTACAAAGATGTCCTCCCTGAACCAACCAGCTTTTCCGATGAAACTCTAACACCTCTCTCCCCTTGTTTTTTTTACCTTGTGGCCATGCTTCTGTGAATATAACAGAATGTAAAGTGTCTGCTTTAGCCTACTGACTGTATGGGAAGTGTGAAAAACCTGCTGCTAATGCTAATAGGTTTTAAATGTTTGAAAAAGATAGAGGTAGAAGTAATAATTAATTTCACTGTTCTGTCTGAACGTTTTATCTCCCGTTTTATCTCCCGATAGTGTCATAGACTGTTTATTAGGAGTGGACTGACCGATTTGAAGAAGCTGATTTTAACATGAGCTAGCTGGAGCCAATTTGCTTACATGGGCATTAGCAGCATTAGCTTTGCACTGTTGCTAAGATGGTTGCTAGCTGGAGTTATGTTTATGGCTCTTGTACATATTTTTTACATTCAATTAATATAATGTACACATACATCCTCTCGCACATACGGCTTGAAAGCTCAATGGGAAAACCATTTCAAACTTAATAGATAAATAGTAACTAAGTAGCTAACATAGATATACAACTATATATACGTGCAGAGTTGCATAGAGAACTCAAAACCATGTGTTTTAAGCCCAAAATCGTGAGTGTGACACTAACTTCATTGAGATAGCTAAGTTTCCTCCGGGTTCTCCTACAACTAAAAACTCTGCTCCCATCTCTGTGTGGAGTGAGGTTTCTTACTAACTTTGCTGGAGTAAGTCTAACACCCTGGCGCTGGAGGGGTGATGGTCCTATATGCGACTAAGTTTTGACGGCGTATAAATACTGTTTCAACCCGCCTTAAATAAGATAAGATAGGATACGATAAACATTATTGATCTGAGAATGAAGAAATGTACAAATTTGGCAACATGATCACTCAGGATGTGCAAAAGACAGCAAATGTGCAAACAGGATATTTGTGTTATAATATATATTGTAAAATGGTGTCTTTAACTTGCTCTCTGTGTGCATACCTCCAGGTGGACTCTCAGGGGAACATCCTCCTCACTACTCTGGAGATACACAACGAAGTGGGCTCCAACGAGATCACCACTACCACCCTGAGCGACACGCACAACTCCTCCTCCATGAGCTTTGACAGCGTCGGCAATATCCAGTACCGGAAGCCCAGCTCGGCGCGGGAGTCGGGCCGCCAGAGCCTGGACCGGAACATGCACCTAAAGAGAACGAGACTGCGAAGGCGCTCCTCACAACTCAAGATCAAAATCCCAGACCTCACCGACGTAAACGCCATAGACAGGTGGTCGCGGATGATCTTCCCCTTCTCTTTCTCTCTATTCAACCTCATCTACTGGCTCTACTACGTCAACTAGACATGCTTTTTGTACTTCAGAGAGAGGAGACAATTTTGAACAAGTTCTCCCTAACCCATGGGGAATCTTCACAGTTTCATGACTTTGGTTGTGGGAGCTTCCCCTGAGGACATTTATGAGTTGGACAAAACGCCGATCTAAAGTATTGCAGACGCCGGTGTAATTTCTAATGTGTTTTTTTGTGATAGGAGCTAATGACGCAGGAAAATCTACTGATGAGAGCAAAGGAAACTACGGTGGCCCAGTAGGACAAGTCACAGCAATTAAATACACATTCATTAAAAATATATATTTTGTAGTTTAAGGCCAAAACATATAGCCATGTTATCCAGTGGCAGACAACGTAATCTTTCAGAATGTTTTGTATATTTTTTCTATTTTATGTGGGCAATATGACCACTACTGAGGCTATAGAATCAGGACTAAGGCTGTAGATCCAGGACTGAGGGTGTAGATCCAGGACTGAGGCTGTAGATTCAGGACTGAGGCTGTAGATCCAGGACTGAGGCTGTAGATTCAGGACTGAGGCTGTAGATCCAGGACTGAGGCTGTAGATCCAGGACTGAGGCTGTAGATCCAGGACTGAGGCTGTAGATTCAGGACTGAGGCTGTAGATCCAGGACTGAGGCTGTAGATCCAGGACTGAGGCTGTAGATCCAGGACTGAGGCTTTTAGATTCAGGACTGAGGCTGTAGATCCAGGTCTGAGGCTGTAGATCCAGGACTGAGGCTGGAGATCCAGGACTGAGGCTGGAGATCCAGGACTGAAGCTGGAGATCCAGGACTGAGGCTGTAGGTCCAGGACTGAGGCTGTAGATCCAGGTCTGAGGCTGTAGATCCAGGACTGAGGCTGTAGATTCAGGACTGAGGCTGTAGATCCAGGACTGAGGCTGTAGATCCAGGACTGAGGCTGTAGATCCAGGACTGAGGCTTTTAGATTCAGGACTGAGGCTGTAGATCCAGGTCTGAGGCTGTAGATCCAGGACTGAGGCTGGAGATCCAGGACTGAGGCTGGAGATCCAGGACTGAAGCTGGAGATCCAGGACTGAGGCTGTAGGTCCAGGACTGAGGCTGTAGATCCAGGTCTGAGGCTGTAGGTCCAGGTCTGAGGCTGTAGATCCAGGACTGAGGCTGTAGATCCAGGACTGAGGCTGTAGATCCAGGACTGAGGCTGTAGATCCAAGACTCAGAGTGTCTTCAGGTTATGATCCAGTTAACGTTAATCTTCCTCCTTTATGTTCAATCATTTCTTGTTCTTAACCTATATGTTTTTTGTGATATCCATTTTGTCCTTCTATTTTGCTGTTTTGACTTGACCACCAGGGCCACCGTCCTCCGCTCTTCTTCTTCATGCATGGACCAAAATGTTCTGGTGTCATTTTGCCTTGTTGTCGCGGCACTTCACTTGTTTTGAAGTGAACCGAGAGACAAGGGCAGTTTATATTGTAACCGTTTTAAACCAGCATTTTTATATATGATACGTGCAATTCATTTTCCCCGTCGCATACAACCATCAAGCAACTTTAGTTTTGTCTAAATTCAGATTTTATAATGATATGGTTTTAGTTCAAGCATACAAGGTGAGTATGTGGGGCATTGGCAAGAAGTACATCATGGCTTCAAAAATCCCAAAAAGCAATAAATATTCTCTTGAATTAGGTCAATTTTAACTTGTATTTTGACTGTCTGAAAACAAGAGGCCAATGGGACAATCACTTTTGGTGTTTTTTCCAAGCACAGTCCCATTTCTTTCTCATTTTGAACTGAGAAATGCTTGTTTTGGTATTGCTAGATATCGGTTTTACATATTCTACTGAAAACTCTAGTTTGGGGTGCCAATAAAGTTTTACTCCAATGAGCCATATACAAAAATTAGCCCGTTCCCATCATTATCCATCATGTCCTACATTTTAGCTAGTGCATTAGCACCAACCCAGTATTTATTTGCGGTATAAAATTGACCTAGCATGCCTTTCAAAAATACGTTTAAATTTTTTTTATCATGGACCAGTCTTACCTTGAAAAAAGTCTTGTTGGTTTACCCCTGATCAAGATAAACACAAAACACCACTAAAAGCCCTGTTTCCACCAGCCCTACTCTACTTTACTCTACTTTGCTCTACTTGGTTGTGTTTCCATTACGCTTTAGTAATGGAAAACACACAACAAACCAGTATCCATGGTCAATTCCTTGGTAGCCACGGCTTCCAGCAGCACTTTGGTCAATCACTGTCAGCTAGAAAACTTTAGTACTAGCTTGGCCTGGATAGAACCAGGGCAAAGCAGGTGCTAATGAAGTACCTGGTAATGGTTTAACAGGGCCAGTGGAAACGCTCAGGGTAGAGTAGAGCCGAACTGGGCCATGCAGACCTGGTGGAAACAGGGCTAAAATTAATTACTTCAAGCACATATTCACCTTCAACCAGCACTGTTTTAAGAAATGAGTAATATTCAAATCTGAATATCTGTGGACTTTGTTACTGCAGCCTCAAAGTGAGAGCCACCACATACAGGCCATAACATTATGATCCCTCACTCACGGTTTACCATGGGTCTGGAATGTGTATATGGTGTTTTGTGATAATAAGCAATAGCACACTTTACAATTGGTGTCACACACTCGGACAATTGTTCTGTGTATCACACTGTTCAGCTAATGTTTTTGGCTCTTTAACTGTCAATGAAAGCCTTTTCCTGGATGGACGTGACATTTGGTATAGTGGTTCTCTTGACACCCCCTTATACCCCCATTTACACTACTGCTATTTATTTGTATAGCACAGTTCATGCACAAGGCAACGCCAAAGCGCTTCAGAAAACAGGCAAAAAAACTTTAAAATCATAAATTAAAAAAGAGTGAAGATACAATTCTTCAGTTGTATGCACTTTTTTATAATGGATTTGAACATTGTCAGAGCAGAAGCCTGTCTCACATTTTCAGGAAGACTGTTCCAGATCTTAGCAGCATATACCTGAAATGCTGCCTCTCCATGTTTAGTCCTGACTCTGGGACCAGCCGGAGGCCAGTCCCTTTGCTCCTCAGAATCGGAGTTGGTTCCCATGGCACTAGCGTATACACACACACATCATTCATCACACATTCAGTCAACACAATAGCAAACATTTTCATTAATTTGCATTTACAGTAGAGTCTGTGTCCGTCTCTGTAGAGTGTGCTTTTGCAGCTCAACCACACATGCATCAGCTGTATGATTCTGGTTACTGCCCTGCTCCACGTCGGCAAAAGGGCGAGTGGGATATAGTGTTATGTCGGATTGGAATTCACGTTTTTGTCCATCGTCCTGGCATTCTCTCTCTAAACAGTGATTGTACATATATGAACACTGATTTGTTGTTGTTTTTCTCAGTGATTCAGGTCTTGCCATTTTAATTGTTAGTTTTCTTATTTGTGTTGTAAATATACATATAAAACAACTCATCTTGTTTCAATGTTTTGTTTTTGGTTTTTTACCTACACACTGCAAAAAATGATCAAATGTGAGCTCATAAATAGACTTATCTTATCTTATCAAATTTGAGCAGTTATTGGCTTGATTTCATCACTTTTTGCAGTGTACCTCCCAAAACGTTCTTGTTCTCAGTGTTGTGTATAAGTGAGAGTTGGCGGGGGTTTTTGTACAGAGTGATATGTCAAAAAAACAAGTCTGGCCCCGGAGTGCGACGCTGCGGACCATCTGTGAGGCCCATGCGTGTGTGGGAGGGACCACCTGTCAGACATGTCGCAGCATGAGGAGAAGCTAAAGCCCACAACGTATTAAATATGAGAGTGAAACAAAGGGAGATTCGGACCCCAACAGGTTCACAGCCCTCTCACATCAGCACAGACTGTTGTGGGAGATGGCCTTGTGCTGCTCAGCCTCAAAGTAAGGGTCGCACCAAGTTGTTTAATTTGCTTTTACCACAATTAAAAAACACACACACCCAAAATATGTTAGAATATATGAATAGTTAATCTGCGAAAATAGATAGAAAAAAAATGTAATAGAAAAAAATGTACTTACTGAGTCACCAATTATGCAAGTTCTGCCACCAAAGATGAGTCTGTAATCTGTTTTGGCGGCACAGTGGTTAACACTTTTGCTTCACAGGAAGACAGTCCTGGCTTCAATTCCACCTCCAGGCCTTTCTGTGTGACTCTGGTCTGTGAAAGGCGCTATATAAATGAAGATTACTTACTTATTTTCAACATAGATCTACCTCAACTATGAGAGACAAAATGAGAGAGAAATATCTAGAAAATCTCACTTTCGCAATTGGTGCTATTGGTTAGTTTATTTAGAGTAATAACATGTGTTTTGGTCCAACGATGGTAACAAAGGACAAGAACATGACAAAAACAAAGTTGATTCGCTCCTCAGCTCCAGAAGACCATATGTGGAACCAGGATCAGCCCATTGTGTCCGCGTCGCAGCCAGGGCTGGACTGGCCATCGGGCGTACCGTAGTGTTGTATCGTTCGTGAACGATTCGTTCAAAATGAACTAATCTTTTATATGACTCGGGAGTAACGAGTCTTCTCAGGGAGCGATTCGTTCATTTTCATGCAGTACCTTCTCTCGCCACATGGCGGCAGCTGCATGAGCTCAGTCAGCAGCAGACAGGAAACAGAAATGATTCGTTCACCACTCACTCAGCTGGATCCATTCTCAGGTCCCAGTTCTTTAGTCACGTGACAGACAGGCTGTCTGTGAGCAGCAAGCACTGCAGTTCCTTCACGATTCGTTCATACGGATCCTGACGGATTGCTCTTTCGTTCATTCGTCACGTGACAGCTGTGGCTGGCTCAGACAGCTACGGGGCTGGGGGACTGTTGACTGAGAGCTGAACAAGGAAATGATTGATGTCTGATATCTACAGTTTATTTGTCATGTGACACCCGATATAGATTATTTATTCACGAAATCATAATTATAGTGGTCTTCAGTCCTTGTTGTGTTATTGTATAGCCTATATAATGAATGTGTTTGTAAATAAATACTTT